ATGCTACCAACTTCATTACCTCAAACTTTAAGTTGTTACAAGATCATTTTGCATATGGCTATTCCAGACTGACATGGCTGTTTCTGAATTCCCTCATCACCATTTCCCCTCAGCCCCCTTTTGCCAAAAAGTTTTTTTCCTTGCTTCCCTTGCCCCCAAAAGCCCATTTCCCTTGTCTCCCTCCCTTTGTCTTGTTCTCTTCCAAACACTATTTCCCTCCCACCACTCAGGCGGTGCTTTGTTATGCTTTCCCTCCATGGCAGAAGGAAGTTGGACTGAATGGCCCCTGGGGTCTTCCATAGAAATGCTTTAGGGGGCATGCTTGTCAAATTTCCAGATTACACCAAATTAGGAGGGATACCAAATATTGCAGAGGACAGGATCAGAATTCAAAATGACCTTAAGAGATTAGAGAGCTGGGACAAAATTAACAAAAATGAATTTTAGCAAGAATAAATGTAGAATACTACACTTTGGCAGAAAACAATGAAATGCACTAATACAGGATGGGCTGATGCCTGGCTGAATAACAATACCAGTGAAAAAGATTTTGGAGTCTTTGGGGACAACAAGTTGAATATGTGGAAACAGTGTGATGCAGCAATTTAATAAGCCAGTGGGATTTGGGGTTGCATGAAAATAAGTATCATGTCTAGATCAGGCATGAGCAAACTTGGGCCCTCTGGGTGTTTTGGACTCAACTCCCACAATTCCTAACAGCCTACCAGCTGTTAGGAATTATGGGAGTTGAAATCCAAAACACCCAAAGGGGCCAAGTTTGCCTATGCCTGGTCTAGATCAAGGAAAGCAATGGTGCCCATCTATTCTGCTTTGGCCAGGCCTCACCTGACATAATGTGTCCAATTCTGGGCACCACAGCCATGTAACCTCTAGTGACAGAGCTCTCCCAAGCTATGTACTTGCTTCTTATAGATGTGCAAACCTACCCAGAGTAGGTACGCATAGCTTGCACAATTAGCAGCTCTCAGCATCCTCATACACCCTGGCTTTTTGGGTGATTAAATGGTGGAAACTGTGATTAAACACATCAGGAAGACATCCGATTGGAAAGGATTGAAAAGCTGTGCTTCACAGGAAAATATGCTATTACTTAATCATGATGCTTCAGAATTGCAGTATATTTCAGATTTGCATATGTATGGCCTTCTATCCTTTGTATAGCTGCATTAAGACATAATCAATTGGAAGGGAAGACAGGTAGCAGTTCATGACCTTTTAGAAAATCAGGTGCTAGTAGCTTGTACCGGCCTTCCAGGCCCCTTTAGCTCATAGCTGACATTTACTGTTTGCTCAAACAGCCTTCCAAAAACATCCTAGGCTGGAGTGATGTTTGCAAAACAAAAAAAATGTGTGAGAGCCAACAGGCTTACCTTCTCAGTGAGATCTCGCTGCACATTTGATATATTTGCACATTCATAACTGCTTTCTTTAAATAGGAATTTTCAGCAAAGAGGAGAAATGAAACAGTTAGGTAAACAGTTATTGTTTCTTATAACTGTTTACCAATTATAGCAGCTAGTGAGTTCATTTATATCAAGACTGGGCAACTGATGTATTTTTAACTTACACCTCACAAAACCCGAAAGTGAGGACTGTGGGCTTTTGAGGTTTGAATTTCCATAAACTTGCAATGTTTGTGGCACGTGGGCATTGTTACACCCCTGCAATTATTCCCATCATGCCCCCCCCCCCCCCACACAGATTTATAAAACACAGTATGTATATGCACCCATAACCATTGGCTCAGCCAGACTTCTAGGAATTAATAAAATCCTTTCCTGCCTTGAGTAAGTTGGATTGAAAATGTGAGATGCTTAATTTGGGCCTTAGACCACCAGGGATTGTTATAACATACATACATATATATATATTCTCTCTCTCTCTCAACACATATGAAGACACACAATGATACATTCACTCTGGACAAGTCACCTCTTATGTATTCTTTGCCTATTAAACCCATGGAGTCGCTATACATTTCTGGTCATCACTTGTCATCTGCTTTCTTTGTTTCCCTCCTTAGTAGTGTGATGGTCAACATTTAATTCTCTACTTCTTTATTTTTAATGTTAACTAATTTTTAAAAAACCCAAATTCTTTCTATTTAAAGACTAACAATGCATTGCCCAATCACATAGCAATAAGCTCCCTTCTCCTCAAATAGGACTGACTTCTGACTAGACATGAATAAGTACACCTCTCTCACTTGAATGGGAAATCTGTGTCTGTAAAACCATTCTCCCCAAATATGGCTTTACAGTGTTTTGGACTTCAGCTCCCAGAATCCCTGATCATTGGCCAAAGCAGCCAAAATTGATGTCCAATACACTTGGGAATGCATTGTGATGGCTGTGACCTCCTGTTAACTGATCTCCTTTCAAACCTAAAAACCTGGCTGTTTAGTGTGCCTTAGAGGAATGAATACAACCCACACCATGACCAGCTCAGCACAATATTCCCTGTGATGCACTTTACCTCACCCTTCAATGATAATCACCCCATTACTGCTCTCACCTGAACCCCCCCCCCCCCCCCCCCCCCCCCCCCCCCCGCTAACTAGGCATACTACCTTACTCATCCATCTCACCCAGGGTTTTTTATATTTTAATTCTATCTTTTTAACTTGGCCCAGCCCTCTGTGCACATTATTATTTTATTTCATTTCCTGTATTTGGTTTTGTATTAATTTGCTTTGTTTATATTTCATTTGATGTTATTATTTGCTGTATGTATTTTATTTTGATTTGTTGTAATGGTTGGGCTTGGCCTCATGTTAGCCGCCCTGACTCCCCGTTGGGGAGATGGTGGCGGGGTAGAAATAAATTATTATTATTTTATAATCACACAAAATCAGTAATGCAGAAATTAGCACAGTGGCAGAGTTTTTATGCAGTAGCTCCAATTATGCACCAGTAGAAGTGTCAGTTTCTTTCTGGTGCTTACAGGTGCATCTACAGTGTAGAATGAATGCAGTTTGACACCACTGCAACTGCTATGGCTCAATGCTATGGTATCAAGAAAGTTGTAGTTTCGCAAGGTCTTTAGCGTTCTCTGCCAGAGTTGGTGTTTCACCCACTTGTAAATCCCAGAATTCCGAAACAGTTAAAGTGGTACACACTGCATGAATGAATTGATGTGTAGTGTAGGTGTACCCTAAGTTTGGCATGCCTTTTTACTAAACCCTTTTAGGCTTTATTGCTTGAAATACAAATATACTATTTCGTTGGAGTTTTTGTCATGTGTAATATCTTTTCATCCTGTTTAAGCTATTTTCTTTTTTAAAAACTGAAAGTGTTTTGTTTATTATTTTACCTTTATGTAACTCATGTAATCTCACATGTAAACTCATGTAGAAGCTGCAGTATGCAATGGGTTAAAACCTTGTGCTGGCTGCAAGACAGGGACGAGTTCTTGTCTGTCAGCTCCAGCTTCCCATGTGTTAGAAGCCTCCCACAGGATGGTAAAACATTCAGGTGTCACCTGAGCAACATCCCTAGGTAACATCCAATTCTCTCACACCAGAAGCGACTTGTAGTTTTTCAAGTTGCTTCTGACACGATTTTAAAAAATCCTGTTTAAGCTATTTTTTAAAAAACAAAACTGAAAGTATTGTAATTGTTTATTGTTTTACTTTTATGATAAAGAGCAAGGTGTAAAAATACAAACAGTCCCCAAGTTACGAACAAGATAGGCTCTGTAGGTTTGTTCTTAAGTTGAATTTGTATGTAAGTCAGAACAGGTACATTTTTAAGTGTAACTCCAACCAAATATATATACTAGCTTTGAATAGCATAGGGAAGGGTGAATACCCCTGTGGTATTTGTGTATGTGTGTGTGTATATATATCACACACACACACACACAAACATCACAAGAATGTTAACCCTCCCTTATGCTATCCAAAGCTTATACACACATGTACCACAGGGGTGTTAACCCTTTCCTATGCTGTCCAAAGCCCCCCCCCCCACACACACACATATATATTCATACATATAGGTATATGCACACAAACATCACAAGGGTGTTAACCTTTCCTTATGCTATCCAAAACTTACACACACACCCCACACGGGTGTTAACCCTTTCCTATGCTATCCAAGCTTATATATACACACACACACACACAAATACACACACAAACATCACAAGGATGTTAACCCTTCCTTATGCTATCCAAAGCTTATACACACACACCATAGGGGTGTTAACCCTTTCCTATGCTATCCAAAGCTACACACATACATATATGTTCATACATACACGTATATAAATGCACACACAAACATCACAAGGGTGTTAACCTTTCCTTATGCTATCCAAAACTTACATACACACACCCACAGGGGTGTTAATCCTTTCCTATGCAATCCAAAGCTTGCTTTTATACACAGAGACATACATGCAAACACACACCCGGGGGGGGGGGCAAATCCATCCCTAGATAGATGGAAGGGTTAACACGCCTGTGGTGTTCATAGGGAAGTGTTAACACCCCTGTGGGGTTTTTTTTTTGTTGTGTGTGCCCCTGTTCAGAAGATTTCACCTCACTTTCTGTCCCTGTGATAATTGGATTTTGAAAAAAAAGGCTTCTGAAACAAGGATCGGTGAGCAAGCTTCAGCCGAGGCCCCCTTTCCCCCGATAACTTTTTGAGGAGTGAATTTCCTTCCCTAGGGGTAGATTTCTCTCCCTTCCTGTTGTCTCACCCCTTATTATCGCTGAGCTGTTTGGATGTCGGATGTTTGTAACTCGGGGACTGCCTGTAGGTGTTTCAATAAACGAACACATGATTTCAAGCAGAAGCTGGTGCATAATTAGAGCTGCTGCTGCTGTGCCAAAAATCGAACTCGGTCGCTGCACATATTCTGCTTTACTTCCTTTTTTTGTGCGTCTTCCGTGGGAGGGGAGGAGATTGCGCAGAGTCTGCACATGCCCAGATAGCAGGGAAATCCCGGTCGCTCCGAGGAGGAGGAGAGGCGCGGTCCTCCTTGCCTTGCCTTGCCTTGCCTTGCTTCCTCTGGGCGCGGCGAGGCCAGGGCTGCCAGGCGCGCGCTCTGAAGCCCCGGAGGCGTGCCGTCCTCGCGCCTCCTCCTCGTCGTGCCTCTGGGCTCCTTTCCCTTCTGCAGCACGGAAGAGGCGAAGCAAAGCAGCAGCGGGAGCCATGTCGCTATTGTCCCTGGCCTTGCCTGCCTTCTGGCTCTACTGGACCGCGACGCGCCTCGTCCTGCACCAGATCTTGCGCCGCTTCCGCCTGGGCTGCCCTTCCAAAGCAGGTTAGGAGGCTCCCCCGGAGAGGCTGGGAGGGAGAGGCCTTGGCTTAGGAGAGGGAAGCCTCACTGGCTTCGCTTTCTTCCCCTCCCCACGCGTCCTTCCACCGTTGGGAACCAAAGTTGAGCATTTGCGCTCGGAGGGAGAGGACAGAGGACACTCCTCCTCGCAAAAGGAGGGGATCCGCTTCCCTCTTCCTTCCTAGATCTTGTGGCAGGAGCCAGGCGAGGCCAAAGGGCTCCAAGCTCCTGCCCAAGGCTCTGGCTCCTGGCTACTGGGGGCCCTTCCACACAGCCCTATATCCCAGAATACCAAGGCAGAAAATCCTACAATATCTGCTTTGAACTATCCGAGTTCACCCTCAGATAATGTGGGATTTCCTGCCTTGATATTCTGGGATATAGGGCTGTGTGGAAGGGCCCTGGGACTCTTCAGTTGCAGTGCGGTCGCTGGCTGTTTGTAGCCATCGATTTTCAACCCTGGGATACAACTGCTACCTGTATCGGTCCCCTGAGGTTGTTGCATTTGCCAGTCTGCTGCCACTAACTTACACTTCAGTTGTAGCTTGGTGGACATACAGTGAATGTAGCAAAACAAAAAGTTTTCAAGCTACATCCAAGTTTCTTGTAACTGCCTTGGTTATTGTTGTTTGTGTGCCTTCAAGTCATTTTTGACCAATGGAAAAACTAAGCAGATGGGAGCTTGTTCTTGGAGATTTGCCCATGTTTTCCTCTGAGGTTAAGAGCATGTGACTTGCCTAAGGGCACCTAGTGGGTTTGTATGACTGAGGAGGGAGTCACAACCTTAGTTCAATATTCAAACAACTGCACCAGAGCTTTCCGATGTTATGTTGGTGACGCACTACATGCATCGCTTTGCGACACAGTGCTTCAGTTTTACTAGCAAACCAGAGGTTAACCCAAGCATGGGCAAACTTCAGCACCGGCTGTTCTGAATTGTGGGTGTTGAAGTCCAAAACACCTGGAAGACCGAAGTGTGCCCATGCCTGGGTTAAACCAAGAGATCGGAACACGTACATAAATTATAATAATGAAATGTATGGGGACATGACTTATGAAAATCTTGCTCATATATATATATGTGATTTATTGATTATTTCACATGGACTCACCATTCTTGTTTCATTCACTTTACACACCTACACACTACAGCCAACATTCCAATGTGTCATGACACACCATTTGGAAGGCTCAGCACTATACCATGCTGGGTTATCGCATGCCTTCAAGCAGACTGGCTTATGGTGACCCTATTATAGGTTTTTCTTTTGCTTTGCAGGGCATTGCTTTCCTTTGAGGTTGAAAGAATATGACTTACCTAAGGTCACCCTATAGGTTTCCATGGTTGAGCTTTGGTCTCCTGGTGTCCTGCTCTAGCATTCAAATCCTGATACTACTTTGGTTCCCTTGGGTACCTGTCTATTGAAAAGTGATCCAGTAATCTCACTAGGCCTTATTACTCTAAAGAAAATGCTATCTATGTTTGTCACTTTTTTCATGTCAGGAGCAACTTGAGAAACTCCAAGTCACTTCTGGTGTGAAAGAATTGGCTGCCTGCAAGGACGTTGCCCAGGAGACACCTGGATGTTTTGATGTTTTACCATCCTTGTGGGAGGCTTTTCTCATGTCCCCACATGGGAGCTGGAGCTAACAGAGGGAGCTCTCCCCAGATTTGAACCTCTAACCTGTTGGTCTTCTGTCCTGCTGACACAAGGGTTTAACCCATTGTGCCACCAGGGGCTCCATGTTTGTCGCTAACCGTACCTATATATAGTTGGCCCTCTATATCCATAGATTCTGCATCCACAATTGAACCATCCACAGATTTTTTTTAAAAAAAATCCAAAAATCAAATTGTGATTTTGCTGTTGCATATAAGGGACAATATTTTACTACACGATTATATATAATGAGCTTCTATGGATTTTTGTATCTACAAGGGTTCTTGGAACGCCAGCAGATACCAAGGACATCCCAGCAGTATGCACTTTCACTTTTGACATCATTGAAAAGTCTGTCAATTGCATTCTTGGACATTGATTGTTTGATTGTGTGTGTGTGTAATAAGTTTTTAAATAGCAGGTATTAGTGACAGATTGTGGTTTCCATGCTATTAGCTTCCAAGACATTTGCCAGAAGTAAAATAGGCAAGAGTTGTAACCTGGTGAAAGATTGCTTTTTGCAGAAGCAAGGATATCACTGTACTCCTCCGCTTAATATGGAAAGCTGAAATTGAAGCTTTCCACTCCAGTGCTTTAATATTAGGTTGGGTGGAGATGGGGTGTGTGAAGAAAGAATATATGCTGTTTTCAGTCCCTTGGAGGGAATTGGAAAATAAATGTAAGACATAATCTTTTGGAGTTGGTGAGAAGTTCAAGGTAAACATCTACACTCAGTTACTAAGGAATTGGAATAGAATCAGACACTTGGTTGGAAGAAATTGTATTAATCTCATAGGAATAATAAAGAGCCAGTGTAGTAATTTGAATGCTAGAATTATGGCACTGAAGACCTGAGTTTACTCATAGAAATCTGTGGGTTGATTTTTGGTAACTCTAAAACTCAGAGAAAGGCAAAAGCAGAGTCACCATAAGTTGGAAATGACTTGAAGTTACATAGGAACAACAAGGCAGTGGTTGCATTGTCTGTGTAACTGTGGTTCTGGTCAAAGTTGCACAACAAGAACAAGATAGGAAAAGCTTAACAAATAATCTATCCTGGTCCCAATATATCAAATCCTACAGGAAACTGAATGGCTACTTAGGGACTACATGGCTACTTAGGGACCTTCTAGACAGGCTCTATATTCCAGGATCTGATCCCAGGTATTCTGTTTATCCTAGATTATATGGCAATGGGGACTCATATAAAGTAGAAAACCTGGGATATAGGGTCTGTCTGGATGGGCCCTTAGTAGCCATGTTTGTGTGTGTGTGTGTGTGTGTGTGTGTGTGTGTGTGTGTCAGGAGCAACTTGAGAAACTTCAAGTCGCTAACAATGTGAGAATTGGCTGTCTGCAAGAACATTGCCCAGGGGATCCCTGGATGTTTTTTGATGTTTTACCATATTGTGGGAGGCTTCTCTCATGTTCCCACATGGGAAGCTAGAGCTGAGATGAGAGCTCATCCCGCTCCCTGAATTCCAACCGCCAACTCAGCAGGTTTAACCCATTGTGTCACTGGGAGCTCCAGTAGCCATGTTGACTGACACTATCATGTGATGAAGGTTGGGAGCTTAGAGCTATGTAGAGGAGCAGAAGATTAACATGGTGCTGCATTTTAAACATGCAGTGTCATGTCAAGGACAGATAGCATGCAAGTTAGGTTTAAAGGGATTGTGGAAATAATGACTTCTTGGTTGAGCAACTCCTAACTTTCATGGTGATATCCAAGGTGCTGAACCTATTTTGCACTTAGGTTTTGTCATATTGGGCACTTAAAAAAAAAGTTAGGACTAAAGTCTGGAATGTGTTCACTACCCCCACTAACATATAAACCATCAGTCACCACTGGGTCTCCCGCTCAGAATAAGGCCCTTGATATCCACTAGAGGTTGGTTCCATGAATACCAAAATCTGTGGATGTTCCCAGACACTATATGCAATGGTGTAGTAAAATGATGTCCCTAATATAAAATGACAAAATCAAGGCTTGTTTTTGGAAATCTTGTTGAACACTGTTTTAATTTTACCATCATATCTGTACAGAGTACTGAGGATTGAGCAATGTTAAAGCAGTGTAGTTAAGCTATACTGTCATCTTGGAAATGCCAAAAGAGTAAAAGAAAGGGTATTAAATTGCACAATTTTAGTAACATTTCAGGGCTGCAGATTTCTTTGCTTGTGGCTTCACTGGACAATGCTTCTCTGTTTTTTTTTAAGTCCTCTTCAAATCAGTCATGTGACTAAGTCATGAGAAGGCAACTGGCACTTTCATCCCAATTTCTGCTTGCTTATGTATGCATCTATGTTGCATCAGACTAACAGCAACCCTGAACCATCAGTTGTTTTTGTTAAAACAATTTCGGATTTGTACTCATGGTTTATAAATCTGGTTGATTTAATCAACCATGCTTGTGTTTTAAGTAGAATTTTGGGCATCATGCCAAAATAGAGTTAACCAAAATGAACTGAAGTTTGTGAAGTCTTCATAGATGCACTGGAACATGGATCAGCAGTGGGAAATGCATACGTTTTTATTTCCCATTGATATCATAATAACAGCAAAGTTTGACATCTAAAGGCAGTACAAAAATGCTAAAAAAATATGCAAGCAGAATAATAAAACTAAAGAAAGCATACAGAACATATTTTTCCTAGGCTTTATGTCTGGTTAGGATTAAAACTATTGCTTGTGAAACCAGTACTTTATTAAACTTTTTACAAGAAGTTGCTAAGTATACCAAATAGACTGAATTCAGGCCAAGGCAACTTGAGAACTCTTCATAAATGGCACAGACATCTTTGTTTTGATGAAATGTGATTAACATTGCTTATACCTACGGATATACTCCACTTGAGGTTATGATTGGGCTTGGCCAGGTTTTGCCATCTGTTTCTTAAATACTATAGAAACAATAGGGTTGGTTTCTTAGAATTTTTCATGTAAAATATTTCAATATTTAAAGATTGCAGACATCCACCCATTTATCTTTGTGGTAGCAATTAAATCTCTACTAAATACATGATGTGGCCTAATTTATAATTTTGGTTGTAAAGTTTATTTTTTACTAGCCTTTAAAGGTTGCTCTTCCTTTGTTTTGTTCTGAAAAGCATACTAGATTAATAAAATTTAAACATTTTAATAGATGTGTAGCTGGAAAACTTCTGGAATAGGAGGTTTTACTAGGGTCTACACCCTGTGATGCCAAAGGATCCTGTGGGTTTTCCTTTACAACATGGCATGTTGGGATCATATATCATGTTTACAAGTGGAAGTGTCTTTCAAGGAGCATGGTAACACTTATAAATGAGAAAGATGGGTTATTCAGTAGTACTGTGGAGCAGTGGTTCCCAGCGTTTGGTCCTCCAGGTTTTTGGACTTCAGATCCCATAATTCCTATTATCTGCTAAACTGGCTGGGATTTCTAGGAGTTGAAGTCCAAAACACCTGGAGGACCAAAGGGTGGGAACCACTGCAATAGAGCAAAGCTTTCCAAACTTTGTCCCTGTTGGTGACACTTTTTTTGACTTCCGGCCATAAAAGCCTTCGACAATACAGAGTAAAGAATGTACTCTATTAATAAATAATAATATATTAGTAAGAATTTGTGTTGCAGTTATGTAAATATTTGTTTAAAGCATTCATATTATTTTGGTGCACCTTAATTTAACCAGATATGTGATTGGTTGTATCAGCCTTGAGTATCAAAAATGGAAATAAATTATATAAATACAGAAGTGTATATATTATATAAACAGCTGTATTTTGAGTAATCAAGTCCCAAGATTCAGATTTCTGTGGTGCATACCTGGGTGTCATAAGGGGAAATGAAGTAAGTAGAAGTAGGTGGAAAGTATGCTATGCCTTGTGGGGTATTAGAATGGAATGAGCAAACTAAATGAGTTTCCCAGATAAACAGTTACTATAGCGCAATGATCAATCCTGAGGCTTATGTAGAAGGTAGCATATGACTTTTGGATCAACTAGTTTGGTGTGTCTTGATTTTCCTTTGCAACAACTGGATCTCAGTCGCCATAACATAGTGGTGCCCTATTTTAATGGCTTGTGATTTATGCAGCTCTTGATATTTGTAATATGAGATGTAATGTTTTACCATACATCTTTGTTCATCTGAAAGCTGCAAAGGTTCATTACATTTGGTTTTCTAAGAACAATATCAGAACACCCATTTTTGGGGGGAACGAAGTGGTTTACCAATACCCCACTGAAAAGTTGGCAATCTAGACTACCGTATTTACTCAAATCTATTGCTCACCCTTTTTGGCTAAATGACATCTCTAAAATTAGGGTGCACATTAGATTCTCATAATATGATAATATTAGTGCCGAGCACAGCCAAAGCAAAAAGTGGAAACTGCTTCAGAAGATCCAGATCTCCATTTTGAGGGATGTCATCTCTTGGATTTGATCTACAGCATAAGTGCACCTTGAGGGTTTTCTTTTCCATTGCTGGAAGCTTTGGTGTTCTAACACTTTTGTATTTAAAGAAGAAATTATCAGCATTCAGCTACCTAATGTAATGAGCACCTTTTTGGCCAAATTGCAAAAAGTGCACTTTTTGCTGCTGCGCATTACATTTGCCAGCAAATACTCTTTTTTTGGTTTCAGGGTTTTGAAAATTGAGGAGCACATTAGATTTGGTGGCACATTAGACTCGAGTAAATACAGGTATTTTATCATTGGCTTATTCATTTCCTTTTTCTTTTTTTTTACACATTTTCCAGTAGTTATGATTTGCTCATAGTTTAGGTCCAAGTCCACATATAAGTAGGCCCTTGATTTATTAAATAGTTTATTGAAACAAACCTAAATAGAAGCATAGGTTGAATTCTTCTGTGGAATTAATCCTTAGTTGAAGGTGTTATTCAGTTGTCGCTGTTGTTTTATAACAAGTTATCTATAAATACTAAAGACAAAGATAAAGACACACCTACCATTGTGTTTGTACATGAATTAGCAATAACACATTCTGGGAGCTGAGGCAACTTTCTCAATTTTATGTCTCTGTAGAAAAACACACGTAAGAATATTAAGGTAATCAGGAGGAATTTTCATAGATTTCTTTTAACCCTAAGTGAAGGAACACCAATCAGTTTAGACTGAAATGTTCAATGGGAAAAGGGGTGTTTCCTGTGTCAGCTTGTAAAGTCCTAGAGTTTAACGAGCTCTTCGTTTTACGCAAGTGTCGTGGTCATCTACTGCTTTCTAGCTATTCACCACCTTGATCCCTTTATATCAGTTGCCTTAGATTTCCCTTTCAAAATCATTTATAAGAAAATAAGCCAAACAAGTTCACATTTGGAGAATGCCATACAACCGATTGAGAATTGAGTATCACAATTAAAACAATATGATATCTATACCCATGAGACTGATACAGTTTCACCTCTCTGTCTCTGACAAAATATATCAAAAGGAATTTTCTAGGTTCTCCACAGTTTTCCATGGCCATTCATTTCAATAAGATTAGATGTATTCTCAGTTTCCACTGTAAGTTCAGGAAAGTATCCTCCATAGATACAAAAATAGTACTGTACTTTAAAAAATGTTGAGTTCTTTGCCTCTATCAACATGTACCTAGAAGGTGATAAAGGGAAGAAGTTGAAGGGTCTGGCTGTAGTGGCATGTATTCTATTTTAGTTCTGAATAGAGTATTTCCATTGTGAATTAATTGGATTTACTTGCATGTTAACTCACTGTTCAACAGTTCATTCAAAAATCTACTGTGGTTGGAACTAACAACCAGCCAGTGTTTTCCTATATCAGAAAACCCCCTCCTTCATAGCATAATTATTTCATCTAACAGCTGGTTTTGCAGGGTATAGTATTGCTGCACTTCCTCATCTGCTTCTGCTTCTTCTTCATCATCATTATTATTATCATCATCTACTATCACCACTACTAGTATTCATGATAATGGGACTCAAGATGGCTAACAACTTGTTAAAAGCAGTGCACACATCAGAATGATGAAAGTTTCAATTTATGATTAAAAAATAAACCGTTTGTAAATTAAAGCATTAAATATTAAAATGCATTTTTAAACTACATATAAACCCTTTTGACCGTTAACTAACTTTCTTTGTAGTTAAAGGTCAAAGGGGTTTAGTATTCACATTGGAAAACCTTATCCGTGTTTAAAATTATTCTAACAACTGCAGTTTTGTGATGAGAGTTGGGAATACCTTTATTAGAACTGTTGGCATTAGATGTTATTGGAGATTGCAGATTCAGTGAAGGAAAATGGGCAAATTACACAATTTTTTGCTGAGATGCATAGTTAAAGGGTTGTTATCTATCTATTTGGACAAGAAGGCTGAATGGACTGGTCAACTGGGTTAGAGGGAAAGGGAGATGTAAGAGTAACATTACAGTGCCTATCAGCAAAGCCAACAATTACATTTAGGTGAGGCATGAGATAAAAAAGAGAAGACTCAAAAGAAATTGTGAATGTTGCCTAGTAATTAGAGCAAAATGGAATTGCCTTTGTGGTGTGGTCCCTTTTGGATGATGGCATCATTTTTCTCTTGCCCTGAGCAGTTAATTGGGTTATTTTCCACAGTAAAGAAAACTCTGTATACTGGAAGGGTATTACACCCATGATTTTGGTTCCTGAAGTGCCAGCTATGCTGTTGCTAATTAACTTGTTAAAAAAGGAAGCTTAAAAGGGCATCAGATGTTTCATGCCTCATATCTTAACTTCTCTATTATTGCAGTGTAATTGCAACTGCCCAAGAAATGCCCAAGAAAATGTTGAGCAGATTAATGACCTCATTATTAGTTGCAAGTGTGTGATCTAGTATTAAACACTAGGATAACTAAGTAACTAGATAGGGGAGCTAAATCTCTTTAGTATATATCATTTTTTCTTTCATTTTTTAAAAGAGAGAAGTCACAAGTTCAGTAAGCAGTTTGTACGTTTGTAAGGCTTAACATTGTCAGCAGTTTCCCAATTTTATTTTTTTTATAAAACCAAATGTTTAAATCTATTATTATTTGCAAAATCTCAGTTAACCATGTTCCAAGATACACTAGGGCTTGTTATTATTGTAAACTCTTCCTACCTTTTAAGTTGCCCCATTTTTTTAATTTTGAGAGTACAGGCACTCCTCGGGTTACGTCATCAGACTTACAAACAACTTATAGATATGAATGGGATAGAGGTGGCCAGCTGCGGAGTGTTGGAACGAACTATTCCTCCTTGGCCAAGGTGAAGGATACTGGTGAATGAAGCCAGTAATGGGCTCTTTCGCCCCTCCTCTCCAGCTGTGAGTAGGGAGCCTTGATTTCTGGACAGCTTCCCTTGCCGCCCCCTCCCCCATCCCAGCATTGGCTGAGGAGGAAAGGAGGGAGCTTTCTGTCAGGCTCCCTTGCATAGACATGCTGCATAGACAACTCCAGTGTCTATGCAGCTACTCTTTGCCTTGAAAAACAATTTTTAGTTATTTTGAAACTTGGTGCGAGATGGGTAAACCCTTAACATTCTTTCTCAACTTGCATTGGGAGACAAAGGATGGGGAAAATGTGATGTCACGTAAAACTTCAGAGATTTCCAAATGGCTTTCAGAGTCAGACCTTGGACTCTGCCCAACTTAAGAGGAGCAAGGTTGCAATAACCCCAAATTTTGGTTAGCTGATAAAGCTGATCCAAATTTATGGAACACACAGTTTCATTGTGTTATTTCTTCATTCTTAAGTGGTACCATCTTCTTGTATGAAGGAGTCCACCTGAAGTTAAAACTGAAAGTAAACATGGAGCTATTGGCTCTAATTCCACCTGTATCGTGCAAGTTTGAATTGCTACTACCTATGCATACATATATATCTGGTTAGGTGCCTTATTTCTAAAGGAAGCATTAGGCTACTTTCCACTCTCATATATGTTCAGATATTTTATAAACAAGGTAGGCTATGTTTATTCACAGGAGTGCTGATTTCACACAGTTGATTAGACCTATGCTTTCTCATTTTGTGTTTATCTGCTGCCTTTTTATCAGGTGCTCATTAATGAGTGAAGAATCAAAAGACTGGGACAGTGGCCAAGAAGCAATGGAGAATAAAAGTTCGGAAGCTTCCCCATCAGACCTAAAGTTAGTGGCCCACCCAAGAGCAAAAAGTAAAGTTTGGAAGTACTTTGGCTTTGATACCAATGCAGAAGGATGTATATTACAGTGGAAGAAAATCTACTGTCGTATTTGTATGGCACAGATTGCCTATTCGGGAAATACATCCAACTTGTCTTACCATCTTGAAAAAAATCACCCGGATGAGTTTTGTGAATTTGTGAAGAGCAACACTGAGCAGATGAGAGAAGCCTTTGCAACAGCTTTCTCAAAACTAAAGCCAGAATCGTCTCAGCAGGTTGCTCAGGATAACTTAATTGTGAAGACATGTCACAGTTATGAGAATAAAAAGCATCAGGAGCTTACATCAGGGGTGGTTAGTTTAATATGTGAAGGGTTATATCCCCCATCTATTGTAGACGAGCCCACCTTTAAGAATCTCTTAAGAATAGCTGACCCCCGATATGAACTTCCATGCAGAAAATTTTTCTGTACAAAAGCAATTCCTGAAAAATACAGTGCTGTTAAAGACATTGTGTTAAAAGAACTGACTGATATCCTGTGGTGTGGCATATCTCTAGATATGTGGAGAAGTGAAAACCAGAATAGATCCTACGTGACATTGACAGTACACTTTCTCAGTAATGGCTCTGCTAGCTGTCTGGCTGTTAATTCCCGTTGTTTAAAAACATTTGAAGTGCCAGAGGAAAATACTGGAGAAACTATTACTAGAGTCCTTTATGAGGTTTTCATTGAATGGGGAATCAATACAAAGGTTTTTGGTGCAACAACAGACTATGGGAAAGACATTGTGAAAGCTTGCTCACTTTTGGACATTCCAGTTCAAATGCCTTGCCTGGGACAGACTTTTAATATGGGCATTCAGCAAGCTTTTCAGCTTCCCAAGTTGTCTGGTGTCTTGTGCAGATGTCGGAAACTTGTGGAATACTTCCAGCAATCTGCAGTAGCCATGTACATGTTAGGGGAGAAACAGAAGCAACAGAACACTGCACACTGTATGCTAGTAAGTGACCGTGTTTCCTGGTGGGGAAGCACACTTGCCATGCTGGAACGTCTTAAAGAGCAACAGTTTGTAATTGCCGCAGTTCTTGTGGAGGACAGCAATAATCACCATCTGATGTTGGAAACCAGTGAGTGGAATACAGTTGAAGGCTTGGTGGACTTGCTCCTACCATTCAAGCAGGTTACTGAGATGATGTCTGCTTCCAAGTACCCAACAATAAGTATGGTGAAACCTCTCCTTCACATGCTGCTAAATACAACATTAAACATCAAGGAAAATGACCTGAAAGAAATCAGTATGGCAAAGGAAGTAATAGCCAAAGAATTATCTACAGTATACCAGCATACACCTGAGATAGACATGTTTCTTAATGTTGCCACTTTCTTGGACCCAAGGTACAAGAAACTGCCTTTTCTTTCAGCATTTGAGAGGCAGCAAGTTGAAAACAGAGTGGTGGAAGAAGCAAAAGGTCTTCTGGAGAAAGTAAGAGAGAACACAGTGAAGACTGAAGAGCAGTTTTTTACAGTGACTGAAGAGCCCCCAGTGAAAAAAATTGTAATTGGCGTCACTCCCCCTCCTACCAGCACCATTAATAACATGCTTGCAGAAATCTTTTGCCAGACAGGCGGTGTTGAAGACCAAGAGGAATTGCATGCTCAGGTTATTGAAGAATTGAGCAATTTCAAGTCGCAGAAAGTTCTTGGGTTAAATGAAGATCCACTTAAGTGGTGGTCTGACAGACACGCTTTATTTCCTGTTTTGCCAAAGGTTCTTCAGAAGTACTGGTGTATTGTGGCCACAAGAGTGTTCCCTGAGCGTCTTTTTGGTTCTTCTGCTAATGTTGTCAGGGCAAAGAGAAACCGTTTAGCCCCGGCTCATGTAGATGAGCAAATATTTTTGTACGAGAACACTCGAAGTGTGTCAGAAGCTGAGCCTGATGAAGAGGATGAGGGGGAATGGGGCTTGGAACAGGACCATATTATTAATTTAAGTGACACAGCAAATGTAAACAGCACTTTCATTAATATGAGAGACAGTGGCTTCATATAGATGGAATGCTTATGGTCCTTCTGAAAAAATGCTTCTTTTAAAATACTCAAACCACCCAAGTTGTCATGATAAAAATGCTGTAAATACTGAACGGTTGGAACATAGCTTTGTTTGTGTGTATGTATTGTGAGTGCATGTGAGTGTGGCTGCTGACCTCAGGAGTGTGATATTTTACTCCAAAAAGCAGAAACAGACATAACGATGGCAAGAACACAGATTCAGGCATGCATTAAAACATGTGAGCTGTCTTCATTGACTTAGGAACAGGATGCATAAATAAAATAGCAACTTTTAAAACAATTGCTCAGTTTTCCTTTTGCTATAGGGAGATTGCATGACTCAGCATCCTGAATGGGCAAACTGATTATCTTAGTCATTTGGAAAGCCTATTTGATACAGGGTTTCAAAATATTTAAATATTTAAAGCTTTCGAAAGGTCAGATCATCAAGCATTGTTATATAAAGGGCCTAGTTTTAATTGCTTGCTTCATGTGTTACTTTCCTTATCAGATCAATTTCTTAATAACAGCATGTGCCTTGTAATATGTCAGTGGCAATGTTGGTAGCTTTTATTTCTTTTCTGCCCAGCCCTGTTGGATGTAATAGAATTGCAGTGAACATATTTGAATGTGCTTTCTCCCCACAGCACTCTGATCAGAGAAAGTCATGCAAACCAACTGTGATACATGCCTGCAAATAATTACTTAAGCAAAATTGTGCTGCTGGTTGCCACAGTACAGTAAAAAAAAAAGGTGTCTAAGGGGAATTGATGACAATCTGACAGCCACTTCTCAGAGTTTGGAATTTTTTTTTTGTTTCTGTCTTTTCCGACTTCATAGATGCACAACTAATGTACAGCTATTCCTGCTGAAATTTTGTGTATTTTCAAGGGGGGAAACCTGGTCTTTATGTTAATTTCTTATGCTTAGAAATACTGTCCTGATTTATATGTAATGCCATATAACAGTTTTATTGTCAGAATGACCCAGAAGGGCCCAAGGTCCAGATATTCTTTTCGTTTCTTCCAACACTGAATGGAAGTACTAAAGGTTCCACTTCTGAATAAAGAATATTTTTAAAATTTAAATTGAGGGAAAATATGTCCAAATTTGAACAAAACAGAATCCCGTCTGATTTCCTCTTCTGTTTTTCCCCGAAAAATAATTAGAAGGAACTACAGTTCTCAGAGTCATATTGTGACTTAGGTAAAAATGAAAATGGAAATTTTCTATTTTGTTAGCTCATTTGTTGAGGAAGAACAGCATGAGACTGGGGTTATCTTTGACAGATTCACATAGGCATGGTTTAATATTATGCCAGAGTTGAGTTAGTGGCTACTTGCAGTCAATGAGACAAACATTACTTTGTATCTCTATTATTATGATTAAGAATCAGGCAAAACATTGAGGCTCATTTGGGGGAAGCTGGTATGTCTGCTATGCTGGTAGATGATTGCGATATTCATTTTATATTTGTTCATGTGTGTATGTTTGTATTTTTGCCTAACAAGTTTAGACTGATTTGGATCAGATTATGTGCGCTGATTTTATTTCACAACCATATTATCTGGAGATGGTCTTTTTGGAAGGCATATAGTGAAAATGTTATGTGATGTGTGGTACAGCCAAGAGTAGGCAAAGCACACTTTTCAAGCTGCTTTGGTGATCCAGACAAACTAAGTGCCCCCTTTTCTGCCCTCAGAAAGACTGAATTGGCTCTCTAAGAAGCCTCTAAAGCCCCTTCTACACTGCCATATAAAATCCAGGCTAACTGCTTTGAACTGGATTATATGGCAGTGTAGACTCATATAATCCAGTTCAAAGCTTTGATAATCTGGATTATATGGCAGTGTAGAAGGGGCCTAAGTTATATAGTACAATTCCCATATCTGCAGGGAGATACATTCCAAAACCCCTAGTGAATGCTGAAATGCTGTGGATTGTAGTGAATCCTATATTTTGACTATACATGTGCTGAAGCATACTTCAGAATTATAGTGGAGGACATGGAGAGGCCCACAAATGCTTATGTGTGGAATATAGTATATTTTTGGGAGTCTGAATAAATGAAGCTATGAACATTGACTTTATGTATAAGGAGGTCATATTCTATTTCATCTTTGAAATGATTTTCAAACAAGTCCTGTTTAACATTAAGAACCCTGTCTAAGGTCCTTGCAGCTATGAACTTTCTCAGAATCTTACTCTCGAAACCCATCTCAAAATCCAGTCAGCTGCACCGAGAGATGGAAATCTGCACCACTGGTGAACTGAGTGCATCCAGCCTATTCTTGCACCAAACAGAAGCTGGGACCTTGGTACAGTCCTGTTAAAATTGCTTGTTTTGCTGCTGGAGGGCTAGATGCATTATCCCGGCTTGATTTTTATGTAGGTTTCAGGGGAAATTGTGGTTGTGACATGGTACCATGATCATCAATGTGAAAAGGAAACACTTATAAAGTCACTGTAAACTTGTTAGCTTCTGACATAGTAACTGACTAATGATGCCAGCCCTGTTTTTGAAAACCAGAAGTGGACCTTTGGCCAAATCAATTTTTTCTTGTTTTTGTCAGCTCATGCAGTCCTCAGACTCTCAAGTGTCCAACTTTGGAATCCCAGAAGAGCCACAGTTCACCACCGTTTATAATTCCTTTATAATTCCTTTATAATTCCAAACAGATCTGTTTAATTTCACAAGAACCAGTTGAACAAATTCATATTATAGGACAAAAGATAGGACAAAAGCTGGTAATTTCTATGAATGAGATTTTGAGCTCAAGCAAGAAATTTTGCTCTTGTCAGTATACACAATTGGTACTTCAACCATTTGTAATAGTCATCAGAGCCTATTAGCCCTCTGAGACAACTTAAAGCTTGATTATTTTGAAGATGCAACATACAGTGTCGGTCTACTGGAAAATCAAGTCACAATACCATTTGAACAAATTTATAAACATTTCTGGACTTAAGAAGAGATGCTCCTATTGTTAGTTGTTTGCTTTGTATTGACAAGATTCTTAAGAACAATTGGAGTGTTTCCCAAAGCCTCTGTTTGCCAAAGAGAAGATGGCCACTTTATATAGGAAGGAGAATAGAGAAACTTTGATAAATAGTAAATGTGCACATATATGTATTTATGTGTATATTAATGCATATATAGATTGGGGACATCCACATTGGATGTCTTCCTCAGTTTCATACTACTTTAACTGCCATGCCGCCATCCTATAGAATTTGGGATTTCTTTGCTGTGGTAGTGTGCATTGTATGTTAGGAAGCTCTAGTGTTAGAGCTCAGGCGGGGGCTGTGGATTGCTTTCAAATAATTCTAAGTACCTCAACAAATAGAAAACTACCTAAATGCCTTGAAAGCACCAGATCCTTTCTGATTTTGGAAGCTAAGCAGGGTTAACTTGATTGGGAGACTATCAGTGAATATCAATGAACATAGGCTATATTTCAGAAGACAAAATTGAAAAACCTATCTGAGTGTTCTTTGCATAAGGAAACAATTTTTGAAATTTATGAGGACACCGTAGGTTGCCAGACAACTTGAAAGCACAATCATACACATTCACCAACCCAAAAAACCAAAAATACCTTAGGATGGAAATTTGATAATTAAAGTGGAATAAAACAGCTCGAACTGTGATGTGGATGTTCTCCTGCCTGAACTTCCTTCCATTCTGAAATGTTCTCCTGTCAGAGTAAATTTAAGGCACTTCTTTTGAAACTGTCCTACAGAGTCATCTACTACGTACTATAAGCTTTGATCAAGTGGCCACAGATGTTTTCATGCAACAACCATATATAACTCAGACCAGTTGAACTTCCCGGCATTGCCTGCTTGAATATCTCCTCATATTGTAGAACTTCTTAAATATAGATTGATAAATCCAATGAAAACATTATGCTTCTGTTAAATGATCTAAGAATTATTTTTTGTATTTTTGTAACTATTTTTGAGATATTGGATAACATTAGAAATAATAGTGGATCTTTCAAGCAGCATCTAATACACTAGGCAGAGGACACCCCCTACACCCCCCCCCCCCAAATATCTAGCTGAGAACAATGATGAAAGGCACAAAAAGGGTGCGTATTACATGGTATCAGAGTTGGAGCATCTCACCCACACTTTTCACGGCAGACAAGCAGGGAGATAGAAAAAGTGTGAAAGCAGATGAGACCTCAGAGATCAAAGAAAAGACTACTTGATGAAGGAAAGAAGTGGGTTAAGAAAACCAACTGGAAGTTACTGTAAACACAATGGGGCCAAACTTCTGGAGTGACATGCAGTCGAACTACCATTGGGCATAGGTATGCAAGACATGTAAATTCCAATGTAATATGCCATCTAAGTTGCTCTATTCTTTGCATCTTGTGATTCTCAGCTTGTACAATCTTACATAGCTGAAGAGAATGCATAATGGTATACAGTGAGTCCCATAAACACAGAACCTGTATCCTCAGTTTCACTTAAGCCTGGTGTCTCTAGGAATTCACCAGGTCCTTCAGGTGATTCAGTGGTATGCTTCCACTGGAATTTACCATAAAGTTTCCCTGGAGGACCTATACAATTCCTAGAGAGGATACATCTTTCAGAATTTCTGGGTCCTCATATCAACTATGGAATTGATCATATCCACAGTATCACTTGTCTAAAGGTGCAGCTTACTGAATCTTAAATCCATGCACCTCAAACACAAATATAATACATATACTGTTATAAAGTATATTTATTACACAGCAGCAAACTAACCAACTTTTGCTTATTATATTTCCTACCTGCAATAAGAAACAGACTGCAGACCATATATTTATTATATCCCATTTCTAACAGAGGGAGTAATGTTTGTTGGACTGATGGCTGACTTGCATGTTTGCTTTTCAAAACAATTAACTTTATGAGTGGCCCAAGGTTTCCACAAAAGGGATAAAACTGTTTTACCCTGATCATTAAATAAATTGTCTTCACTGAAAAGCACATTTTAGTCAGAAAAAAACTGAGGTTCAGCACAACTGTTTGAAATTATGTAATTGGAGATAGCAAATCATTGAACCTGAAACCTTCCACATGCAGAGTCTCTTCCATTAAGCATGGGTTCTCCAAAGTTGTATTCCCAAAACTTTAAATTGGCTGCTGGCTCATTTCTCATTTCAGGGCTAGTTTTGTATTGCCTTTTCTTGTCAACTCATAACCCTTATCTATTCAAAGTTCCTTTTTGATTCTTTAAGAGTCTGATCTCTTGTTTGTTCCATTTCAGTCCCTGGAATGCCATTTCACCCTCTTGTGTGCTCT